CAAGAACCAGTATCTGGACTAAGTACACTATCTTTAACATTCTGTGTTGTTTTATTTTAAATTGCAGTTCAAACGTGAAACTGCTCTGATGTACACTTAAGCATCCCTTTGCCTTGTGTACAGATGGAAGTGCATCTAGGGAATGGTGGAAATTCACTATTAATCCAAGTGGAATTGGTCCATTTAGAAAAATGTGTAAGAAAACATCTACATAAAAATATGGAGAAATTCTCTGAGATTTTTAACGTTTTGGTAAGCTGTTAGACAGTCCCTCCAAACCCTACACTGACAAAACAGATATTTCTTGTATAACATCTAGCACAACTGGAGTCTGAGATGGCCGAGACCCTGAAAGTCATTGCAATGGGAGCATCTGCATCCACTAACAAAATCTTCATTTGGCTGCTATACCTACAACTGGATTGTGCCATCTGTAAAACCCTCGAATAAACATCTTCTAGGTCTGCAGAATATTACAGTCCACTCTGTAAGCATGCCAAGGACATACATCAGACAATGTCAGCATGATTAACAGGATAAGACATGGCCACATTCTATTAAAATTAAAGAGGTTTAGATGCAGTTATACTCTGGATCACTGGAAATCAGTGATTTTTCATAAGCAGCTTTACAAGCATTTAAAAAAACGCATGCTTACTATAACCTCTCTGAAACTCTTACCATTTGCCCTTGTCCTTTTTTGTTGTTTTTGTTACAGTAATTTACAGTTGGAATATGAAATTAATTTCACTTGAGCAGAAAAAATGGGCCACTTTTCAGTGCAGGTTTATCAGATGTCTGTTAGTACTGATTAGGTAAAAGGAATAACTTAGATTTTATGTATTTGTTTCTTGATGTCCCTGTCTCTTGCAGTAAGGTGTTTTATGCAACATGTGTTGCAATACACTGTCCTTTGTAACAGGGCATGGCTCTCTGTGTGCATAAGTCTGCAACTAGAGAGCCTGGTGTGCGAGTGGCAGTCTTTTTCATGACAGCTACATGTATAGTCAATGAGACTGGAATATTGCTCCTTTCAGCCTAGACCCTCTTCTTCGATTAACTGCGTAATAACTCAGACTGCAAGACTACCAGGTGCACAGTTTCGCGGTAAGGAATTTCACAAGAATTTCTGCTATGAGGTCGGGAGCACCAGGTGGAAGAGAGGCTTCTGGGGCAGCATGACTCCAATGTTATGAACCGTGAATAATGCAAAGTGCTATGACGTAGTAGGACCGGTATTTTCAGCAGATATAAAGAAGTATTAGTGCCACCGCATAAGGCGCCAGCAAACCTCAGGTAAGGCATGGTGCATGTTTCTAGTCATTCGTGTTAAAAAACGTGCAGAGGAACAGAAGACGCCTAGTGGGGTGATCATGGGAACAGAAATTCTGTTTCACAAGAGGTTAAAAGAATTGATGACTGTGATTACTCTCTGTAAATACATATGAAGAGTAGATACCAGGGAGAGACAGAGGTATTTAAGTTACAGGATAGTGCTGGTTCAGGGTCAGAGGAAAATAACTTCTCCTCAGCCAGGCAGTTATGATAAGGTTTCTGATTTCTGGATGGATGAAGATATGGAACAGCCTTTCAGACAAGGTAATGGTAGAGGCACCCTAAATCATTTCAAGAAGCTTGCTTAAATCATGGCAGGAAAAGATAACAACAAAGAAGTGATTCTGAATATTATCAAGATGTTTACTATCCTTCTTGTGCTATTTATACTGACTTACCTAATTAATCCCACTGTTCAGGGCTTTTGATGGTCACCTGTGACTAAGAAGGAACTGATTTCTTGCCTTTGCTTCTGAGGGATTTTTTTTCTCTCCTTCCTCTTAATTATATAAAAAAAAAATTGCTACAGCTTGAGATAGGAATCTGATAATATAACAAATAAATAGCTAATGATCTGTATAATAAACTAAAACCATCAATTTTCCTTTCTTCTCAATCTTGGAATCAATGATAGAAGTGGAGATGCACGAAGTACTTTTACACAGAGAAAGTCAGACAATGTCTCTTTCCAGTCAACAGGCACTAATAAAATACTTTAAATGTTTTTCTCATTTTTATCTTTTTAAGAAATCTATGATCCATATTTTGAGTCTAAACAACATAAGAATAATCTATTACACGTGGAGCTCTAATGCTAAAAATATGGTAAAGATTTGTTGTGAGATAGCTGTGACAGATGACTACAACGGCATTCTTGAAAGAAGAAATAACACTTGCAGCTCTCATAGGAAAAAGTGACTTATTTGGAAACAAAGGAGGATGCAATAGCTTTTCCTTTATCCCATCAGCAGCTTCTGTCCAGGAGAGAATTAACCCAAGGTATTAATGTGTGTTAGGAAAGCTTACAGCTGGAATGTTTCTCTAAAGCCTGGTTTGCTCCGCCTGTGTATCTCCTCTTATATATACTCACTCAGCAGATGCATGTGCCAAGCCAGTATGCTCAGGGCTGGGCTTATGTTGACTTGGAATTGGGAAGGAAACCACTGTCTGGGGCATTAAGAAGCACTACAATGGGAGCTGCTCTCCCTGGATTTTAGCGGTGACGCAGTGCCCACAGTCCACCCTGATGCAGCCATTGGCATCGACCTTAATCACTGCGCTTTGCTGATCTCCTTTTTTAAACTCTGCTAATTAAAAAAAGAGGTCTGTGAAGGATTCAGCTTCCCCCAAGAGTTTAGGTTGACATTCTTTCCCTGCTGATCTAAAGGGAAAGAAAAACACATCAAGAAATAATTTTTAAAACAAATGTATAAAAGGTCTGGCCCCCTGTTCCTTTGGGGATTGCAACTGCCTCTGCTGTGTGAGAGTCCGGGATGCACATTTCTCCCATCCTGCTGCCTGATAAACTAAAATGGCTTCAAAGGCAGCATTTTTTTTCAGCATTCCTTTTAGTCAATCAAGGAGATGCCGATGAATTCCAGTGAGAAAAATTCAAAGCTGAGAATGTCACATCTCCTTTAGCTGTTTTGCAAATGATTGGCAAAGAGAGATTCTGAATATCCACAGTGGCAGCGGCTGGGCCATAAATCAGAAATACCTTTGTTTTTACCCAAAAAATGTCTGTTAGGCAAGGAAAATAGTTGTGGCCTTACAAAACTCTGCCTACCACTACAAATATTAGAACATAAGCTGCTCATTTAAAAAAAAATGAGGAGAGGAGAGGAGAGGAGGGGAGAGGAGAGGG